TATATATATAAGAATAAGAACCCTACTTAAGTGAAGGCCGATGAGGGAATTAAACAACATGCTAGTGCACGCTAACTCTTACAACTATGGAAAACATACCATTTCCTCTGCAATATCATGCAGCCGTTCACCGATGACCTCCATTGCATACAGGTTATCGCTGGTGAGGGGTCTATCAGCAGCTGTATTTGATAGCACTAGCAGCCTCTGCTTGATCCGCATATTGTACTAGAAACGTGCGAAGGTGTTTATATTAATTCTTATGTGATAGTGTAGTAACCTGTCAAGGGCTAGATATGGAAGTTATCTTACGTGTAGGGAATTTCTCGGTATAACCAAGCGAATAAAGCAGATTCGGATTTTGCTAAGAGGAAAACTGAAAACAACACTGTTTGAACACTCTGCAATATATCTATATAACTACAAGCGGTAATTGATGGCGTACATGCTCAGCGCACTTGCCCTTTTGTAACTGAAATTAGCCGAACCCTGCATGGAACCTTATTTTTTTTTGAAGCTGGAGAGCTTTTCAAATTCGAGGGGGGGGGGTGTCACTTTAGAGTTTTATTTAGCCTTTTAGGGTTTCAAGGCTTTAAATCTGTGTCAATTTTGCCACAGACTACTGGCTACCCAGGTGACAACGAATCAAATAGATTAATCACTAAATACAAGGGCGATGTAGTGTCGTCCTCGTCATTCGAGTTTTGACGAGGCTCTAAAAAACAAGATCATTAGATCACACATGTTCGCGCGACCCTCTCCGCTCTCGACTCTCGTCGCTCTCTCTCACAGACTCGCAGTCTCTCCTGACTCTGAGTCCTGATGACTCCTCCCTCTCTCTCTCTCTATCTCGTTGTTTTTAGTTTTATATATAAAAAAACAATTCTACATAAAACACGACTGGGGCGCCGCAGCGTTTAATCAAAGAGGTAGTTCATTTCACCGATGATTTTCAACACCCCAAATTTCTTTTCTTTTATAAAAACCCAAAATATAAACCCAAAAGTATATTCCCTCCGATTATACAAGGAGATCACACTTTGGCTTGAACACAGAGAAACGATGTGTTTCTCACAGTGCACATTGATAAAGGACATATTTCTCCCAGAATATATGCACACCTAGTTTTTAACCGTATATTAATTGTATCAAATCTTGAATACATCATTGTGAAATCGTAGTGTTGTTTGTACTTCCAAGGCATATCAATATGGGACTACAATGTCAAACTTTTAATTCCTATGCGTCAATATGATCGCAAACACAATCGTTTCAGATCGGCCTTTGTGCTCTATTTAGTGCATGCATACCTTTACGTCCCCAAGTAGTGAAACGTCATGCGGTGGTAGACAAAAACTATAGTTTGAGGCGGAGAAGATTGAGGAAGAAAAAAAAAGCGAAACTAAATGGTTTTAAAAGATGGATTTTTAATTAGTATCTGATTTTTGGTATACGAATACTGACTGATGTGCCGGAGTCATGGACTTGTAAATTTGCCTTTGTTAAGCTTTAGTTTGCGATGGTCTAAGGTTTTCTCATTTCAAGTCGTGAAGGTACTGAAGTGATTTACGTATCCAACGCACAATCTTCACAACTTCACACCAAGTATAAAATGTGTGTAGCTGCCAGGCATAAGAACGCACACAAGACTGCCGCGATTATAGAGCCGGTGTAGACATGTATCGTTTCAAACCTGCATGATCAGTAGTAATACGTTCTGTTCGGATCAACTGAATTGTAGAGATACGACCTGGTTAAGTATGTTGAGCTACAAGTGCAGTCTGGGGGCGATTGAATACCGTTACATAATGTATTCAGATGGTATGTTCGATGTATACCGACTCAATGCTGACCTATGGCCACGTATTCACAGCGAGAAATGAAATATTACGAACTTGTGCTCGTACCCTGTAAGACCTGTGTGACCCAACTAGAACGGGATTTAGGTGAAAAGACTGTCCGGCTACTCGTTAGCATATCATTTTCGTGAGATGTGTCAGTCGACTTTTTTTTGAAAGTCTAAGTAGATTGGACTATGCGAGCACGAATAAAAATCATAAGAATCATGTGCTATGGATTCTATTGATATCTATACCGGAATATCAATTGAAGTAGCAGCCAAGTCAGCCTTGTACCCGAACATTGCGGCAGTGAAGGCCCAGGCCCCAGGGATACAGGTACGTATTTGCCTATTCATGCCTCTATGCAGAAAGAAACATCATAAGAGTCGAAAAATATCAAACCCAAATAAACCCTATAATCCAACAATAAACCCTATCGAGGTACAAACCTTACAGTCACTACCGCAGAATGATGGGACACTTTTTTTTTACGTGTACAGTATTTATACAAGTGTGTACATATGAATGCCTAAAGTCTGCCTAAACAGTTGTTGAATTCGAAGAAAAATATATACATTGTAGTGTGTAAGGTATAGCTAGCACCATGCCTAAGGCCGAAGTGGGATCGGCAAAGTATGTGGCCAACAAGGCAAAGTCCAAGGGGCTGCAGAAGCTCAAGTTCTTCTGTCAAATGTGTCAGAAACAGGTATTGTGTGTGTTCATATTGGTGAGATAGTATGTAGATACGTACATGTGGCAAACGGGGGAGATAGTATGTACATGTGGTAAATGTGGTGTATGAGTATGGAGAAAACCGATATAGCTTCAGGCGGTGAGGACGATCCCTCGTTCATGGAGTGGATAGTACATTGTTGTACATACTGGTGTCAGCATAATTCACTATCTCACAGAAGGATAGTTGAAGAAGTGAAAGGATTGCTATGTTTGAGATACATACACCGGAGCACAATGATGAAGAATGTCTTTAGAGAATTCAGTATGTGTTTAAGTATATTGAAAGGAGTATTCCGTTATCCATGTGAGGTACAATCAATGTGGATGTCTGTCCATAGCACAATAGGCGACCATATTAAGTTATGAATGTGCTGACACACATACATGCATGTGCATCCGAATAGTATTCATAGTTACATCTTCTACTACTGTAGGTATGTAGTAGTATTCATAGTTAGATCATCTTCTACTGCAGTGTCGAGATGACAACGGCTTCAAGTGTCACATCATGTCGGAGAGCCACCAACGGCAAATGGAGCTGTTTACCGAAAACACGGAAGAGTATCTGGATAGTTTTTCACTGTATGTGATACTAAGTACATGTTTGTTGATGTTATATACCAAGTTTTACAACGCATTTGATTGACCCTTTATTATTCGGACAGCTTTCCACTTTAAGTGCCTCAGAACGTATTGTCATCGATGTTGTACACCGAGTATTACAAAACGGTTTTCCCGTAGCTCAACTTATGTATCACAGTATAGGTCGTTTCTTTCAGCAAACGTATTCACACATAGTCATCAATAGACGTACTGCATAGCCTTGCAAGCTCTCATTCGAAGTGTCCATGTGCACTCTACCTTTGTCAGACATCGCTCTACCCTTGTGTGTGAGTACCAATACTATATCCCTGTATGTGTCGCAACACACGCCTAGTTTCCAGTTGTGCTGCTTGCTTGTATATATGCGCATGTTTTTGTTTTGTTCTTGTTTTTGATTGCTTGGATGCTCGTGTATACATGGGTACGTAATATCGTAAGCTATGTGCGCATGTTTATCTTTTTCTTTGTCTCCGATCGCTTGTTTGTTCGTAAATGCATGTGTATGTTATGTTATATGCTACATGCACATACTTATTTTCTTCCTCATCTTTGATCGTATTCTTCTTCTCACAATCTCAGCGAGTTTCAGAAAGACTTTATGATTCTGCTGAAGCGGCGGTTTGGCGTTCGACGAGTACTGGCCAATGTAGTGTACAACGAATTCATCGGAGACAAGCTACACACACACATGAACTCTACTACGTAAGCATTATAGCACTCTAGGTGTTCCTATACTTATCGTATGTGCAAATAATCACGGAGGATGTAGTATATATAGCTATACGTGATGTGTATGTGTAGGTTCCAACGCTGAAACCATTTACTATGTATGTATTGCGCTTTTTTTGGGTGAATTGGCCCCGTTATCCAAATACAATATATATATATATATTTATATATATATTTATATATATATATGTATTTATGTATGTATGCATGTATGTATGTATATACATATAAATACATACATATATCATGTTGTATATATATGTTGTATATATGTACATATATATATATATATATATATATTGTATATATATGCATTTGCATATATGCACACACACACACACACACACACACACGCACACACACGCACACACACACACACACACATA